TATATGGGATGAGGTGAAGACAGAAGTACAAGAGCTTAAGAGGAGAGAGAGAGAGAGAGAGAGAGAGAGAGAGAGAGAGAGAGAGATTCACCAGGAATAGGAAAGGATATGAGGAACTGTGGTTACTTAAAGCAGCAGGGACCTATGCCCACCCAGCACCCAGGGAGGTACTGTGACCACCGTGGATATGACCCTAGGTATCTGGGCTCCCTGCTTTGACAAAGATTTCCATAGCTACACAAGACACAGAAGTTGCAGAGTCACCGCAAGAGACTAAGTGAGCAATGAGTGTAACAATCTTGACCAGTGTAGACTATAGATCGGTGGGGTACCCCTATTTTTTCTGATCCCTCAGACCTTCGTACAACCCTAGTAGCTAAATAAGGAAAGAACAAATAATGATTAAGTTTAAATTTCCTCTCAGACTGGTGGGATAAGAGTTGGAGTTCAAATAACCAGGTTTTTTTGTTTTGGATTGGTTTTTGCACATACAGGTTTGTGGAATAAAATTCATAAATACTTTCTACACTGTCAAATGAAGTGCCTATTTTCCCAGCCTGTCGTATAATATTAATTTTACTTCTAGAGAGAAGATTTTCATTTCTGTGTAGTCCAATTTACTTTGAACTTCTTTATATTCATTTCTCACTATCTGGACTTGTGAGACTCAACTTCATGGTGTTAAAAGTTTGCTTTTAGAATTTTGGAAATATTGTTCCATTTGGCATGCATTTTAATGGCTACCTGCAAGTCAAACACACTCTTTCATCAGCTAAAAAAGTACCTTCAGGGGATGCCTGAAATTTGATATATCGGTTTATGGGAACATAATTTAAAATTTTGGGATCAATAGTATATTGACAAACTTTGATGACCCTTAAATATGTCTCAGGATGCTGCAACGTTGAGTCATTCTTGTGAAAAAGAATCAGATTCAAATCAAATGTTTGTACAAAACAGACAGTTATATAGCTTGTTTTTGTGCTGTTTTTATATTATTAAATAACCTTTGTCATTTCTCATGATCCTTGGGTAATTACTAAAGGGGCATAGTGGTCCCTTATGTGTTGCTTTTAAAGGTAAACAAAACTTTAAAAGACACTCTTTCAGTTTTGTTTTGACCTACTCTTTGTTACATTTCAGGTTTGTAGGGTAAAGTAATTTGAAGTTATCCAAAATAGGTCATTACACTTTGGTCACTGGAACCCAGATGGTACTCTGATTAAACAATTGGATTTGTGAGTTTCCATTTCAGGCTGTTGTAAATTAAATAGCACTAAGGACAATCAAATAAAAAAAGACTCAGTTTTCCCTTTAAACTCATGTTTTTATTGGGTCTTTGCTGTATAAGCACCAAATGAGGCACTTTGATGTATGGGATGGCAACATTATAAGAAAAAGTTAATCCCAAACCTGATTTTGTATTTCTCTACAAAGTAGGCTGTGCACTAGCTGCTGAAAATATAAATCCATATAGAATCAATTTTATTCCCTTAGGAACTATTCTTCTTTAATCAGTTGCCATGGTTGTAAACAATATAAAATGTAATACTGACAATGTTTTTTGAAACATGTTGGCCTTTATTACATTAGCTGTCTATTAAAGAGCAGGCACACTCAACCTGACTATCCTCAGGTGAGGGTTAAAGGACCTATAAAGAAAAAAGTGTTATTATACTGGGAAAAGATTGTTAATAGACTTGCAGTGTTGGAGTCTGTAAACCCACTGTTCCCTTTGAGAATGATAAAGTTACCAATAGCGATTTCTATTCATGACCTACACTATCCCATCATTTGGTAAAGGATCCCCAGGATAATGCCATCTTTCAGCCTTGGGGCATCACCCTGCCCATTCTAATTCCAATCTGTGACGATATTTTTGTTCCTTGGCTCATAACACTGTCCCTTAAAGTAGTTGAAGTCGGTGGGTCCTATGTATCAAGCCGAATGAATCAATTTGATCATAATGAAGTATTTTGAATTTAGCCTCTAAAAGCCTGAGCAAGCATGTCATGTCCTCGTAACCCAACTCCTGAATGTCTGGCCATACTTGACAAATTAGGACCACACCAATTGGCTCTAACAGGAAAGTCTGATGAACATCTCTCCAGAATGTTCTGAGACAATAGGATCTTCATGGGACCGGTCCTCTAACGCTTTTGTGACCTGCTGAGAGAAGTGCTATTCCTCTCCTGATCCCAACTGAAGAACTTGGCTTCCTTGACAATCTTCCATGTTTATCTTCCATTTTCTACCATCACTCTGCACTAAACCCTTTATTGAATGTTAATAAACTATAAATCTTTACTCCATTTTTTGGATAAAGTTTCTCCTCTTTTTTCTCCACTGGACTTCAGGACAGACACTGGGATGGGATGGGAAGGAAGTCAACATTAAAACTTGCTCAGGTTTTACCCATACCCTGTGAGTCTGTGTGTCTGTTTAAAGTTCCACATATTTAGAGGAAAACTAATCCCACCACTGTACCCAGAAAGATTTTACTTTCTAATTCCACCACTGTATGCAGAAAGATTTTAGTCAGGTTAATATACCCCTCCTTGGCTAGAATTCCTAATGGAACAATAGGCAGAACCCATAACACCTCCCAATCAGTGCATTATTATATACTTTAAAGAAATGAATATTCCTTGAATGAGTCTTAATTCTGAGGTATTGGACGAGTGTATTTCAAATAATGACATCAATCAATACATTTAAAAACATTTTATTTTTAGAGGTTGAACAATGATTCATTGCAGACTTTCTGATGAAACAATTAGCAGTCTCAAAGATTATTTCAATAAATTTTAAAGTTAGAGCACAGATTGAATATAAATTGATTTAAATAGGCACAGTTTTGAAAAGAACTGAAGAGTACTTAAAAGATCCCATTGAATTCATGTGGCACAATTCCTAGTTTTACCGATAGTGTCTCAATTAAATGTCCTGGCAGAAAACACTTAGTGATTAATTTATCTAGAAACTGGTAGCACTGAAAATATTAAAATTTATGCATTCTAATGGTTTGTGTATGTATGCTTCTATGTATACATGTGTGATTTCTGCTTTGCCTATTTTACTGTCTTAATGATTATCCTTTCTTACTGTTTCCTCTGAGGCTCTTACCTTACTTCAAGAGACCTAATCACACTGAACTTTTCTTGTCAGCCCTTTGCATACATCATTTTCTAGCTTTTGAACATTTTCAATAATTCCTTCTATTTTGGACAAGGGCTTTGGTGAAAGAACTAAAGTACACTAAAATAACACTGTACTCTGTCCCAATGCTACTCACAACTTGCCAGAACTTTCATGCTTCAACTCACAGGACTCGGGAATCTGGCTTTTCAGAAATCCCCCTCAATGCTTCTCTGGTGGGCCAGGGCTTCCAGGTACTGCTGCTACAAGGTGAGGTGTAGTTATAATTTTTTCTGTCACTGTGCACTGACTGTGAAATTTAATTGTCCCTTCACTTTCTTGTTTCAGCTGGCAAAGGATGTAAAAATTCCAGATGGATTAACATCTAAATTGGAAATATTCATTACCTACAAACCACTTTAAATATTTTCAGTCCTTCCTAAGTTGGCTATCCAACATCTCAATCTCCTTTCTTAATATGTGCCCAGCTTCCGTTCCTCATTAGCACCTTATCATGTAACGCTCAATTACACATTTGCAATGTCTCTTGCTTGTTTACTTTGGGACACCTCTGTAGATGCAATTCACTATTGTGTATATTTATTAGAATAACAGCCACAGAGCACAATGGGAGTTGACTTCCTAAAATAGTTTACTGTCTTACTGTGTTAAAAATATGATTTTAAGATAAAATTTATTTTTGAACCTTAACTGAGTAAATATTATGAAGAAAAAATGAATTCTTAAAAGACTTGATTCTACACGCTACTTAAATGAGAAAATTTTCTGAAATTCAAACATAGCAAGCTCCATTTGCTCAGCGATGAGGTACTTGCACAAAGTTCCCCATGGCCTTTTTGGTGTACAAATTTATAATAATGAAGACTACTTCTAAGGAAATAATTTGACATAAAACTTTGTTTTCTCTTTAAACTACTGCATTTAAAAAGTCATTTGAGTTGTAAACACTCAAGGATAAGCCAGTTTTAAGATCACATTATTGTGTCACAGTAACAGAAATGTGAATCACATTTACTTTTAATTCATGGATTCAGGTTCTCCTAAATTCTCATTATTGAGCTACTACATTCTTGATATAAGTTGTTAGGAAAATCCAAATCATCATTCCTGGCGCCAAGGTGCCAAGAAATAACGTGCTATCATGAAATCACACATAGTCTGCTTTTGTATTTTGGTTTAACCAGGTAGCTTGAAAATTATTATCCCACTAGCACCGTCTTCAGATTTTAGAAGCAGAACTAGAGGAATTATAGTGAGGTATACTTTGTGGTAGTTCTGTTCCTTCTCTACTGCTCCAGAACTAACCATGGTATTGAGGATGGATATGCAGAAATGATGCTTTTCACCAGGTAGCAATTACCATAGGTGACCAAATGCCACCTATCTATGGCGTCTATAACTTATTGGAGTGATGGACTAGAATGATTTTTCACGACTATAAATTTGTAGACCTAGGTATTTGATGAAAGTTGTATTTTCTTTCAAAATCTTTTTTAACCTATTACATTAAGTCCCTACATGTGGACTTATCACTTTTAGATTAATTTCTGATATTACAGAAATAGAAACATGAAAAACACAAGTATTAGCAGCCAAAACTTTTTGCTGTTACATTTTGTAATTTTTGTTTAATGACTGGAGTGAAATTTTTATATAGTTTAATCTGGAATCAGGAAAATATTTAATGCTTCTGATGGTCACACTGTTGGCCAGATAAGAATTTTGATAAATCAACCAATTTGTCTTTGGGGATAGAATTTGACGCCTACTTTAAAGTATTAAAAAATACAACTTATTCTACAGTACATGTGTATAGGAGTTCAGTCCTGTATTCAGGCTTGCAAGTGTATTATTCGGTGGTTTTTAAAAACGGCTATTGCACATCTTTGGAGTTTCTGAGGAAAATCAAGCATCCGAGGCTTTCTTCCTTTCTTCTTATCAGGAGAAAACCAGCTTAACATGGGGTGAAAGAACACAACGGTTCTCTGTCTGTGGGCTTAACTGTCATGGAGCAATGAGTCAATGGGTGGCCTTTTCCCCTTTATCACTGTAGTTTTCTCCAGGCATGCAGGTTGTTCAGCCTTAGTCTGGTTTATGTTTAGTCCTTATTATTTTCATTTCATAATCTAACCTTTGGTTCTTTATAGGACTTGGCAAATTTGCATATGGTTTGTTGCTATTTTTATTTTTTTCCAAAAAAACCCCCCTCATTCAGGGCCAACTCTTTTGAAAGCTGTTTGGAATCTAACTTATTACAGGTTTCTTAACTCCATGTTGTAAAATCTGAATATAGATACTGTCCAAACTGTCCAAAGAGTAATGTTTGAATTCACAGTAACAAAAGTTACAAGGTTTGTGCAAAAGATATTGTACACCATTGGAGTACATAGAGCTTGCTATAGTTAATTTTATATATAAAGCTACATTTCTCATTAAAACTATTCTGTGCTACATTAAAAGTATCTGATTTAATTTTTCCCTACCAGTAAAACTGTATGCTCATTTAATCTCAGAAATTTAAAATGCAAATTGTATATTTATGATGTTTGTAATTGTTATAATAAATCATTGGAACCTTTTAAACACCATAATTGCTTTGGAGCTCTTCAAGTTTTCCAAGGGTCATGAAGTAAACCCGGCTGTGGCGATTGCGCAGGATAGAGGTAAAGAACAGCTTTAAAAAGAGAGAAAGAGACACCATCAGTAAATGTTTAATACATTGCAAACTGATATTTGATAGGTACAACTATAACTTCAATTTATCTGCACCAACCAATAAAATATTAAGCCATACTGTTTTTCAGAAAGGGATTTCCTCAGATTAAAGAATACAAATTTAAATTGGTATGGAGTCTAAATTATAATTAAAAAATAACCTTTTACCATATTCTATAATTGTACTTCATATAGTTTAAATAAAATTAGATTTTTGTAGGTGGAATTCATCTGCTAAACTTCTTGATTGGTTTGGTTAACAATTCTCCTTTGCTATTTGTTTAAAATCTATTTTTATTCAAGTTGGCTTTCCTTTTTCTTTTAATATATGGAAAATATTACCTTATTTAGATGTTCACATTGTTGCTGGTGTTTAAGTGGCCACTGAAATTTTCTACTTGGTGCAAGTTTCTGTTTCAGTGGAACAGACTGACATCAATAGACTGAGATTATGAGCTAAACCAATCGGCTTAGAGAGGAACATGTTGTGTAAATATGGTCTGTGCCATAAAGAAAATTAGGACAGTACAATAATATAAATAGCAAACAGAGGTATCCTTGTTAGGACTAAGGTTTTCAACGTCCACAATGGATATACTTAGGAGGGTGTGTGATGTAATGATGATGATGATGATAATAACACTAGCTACCCGTGATTTAACACTTTTATGTGCCAGGCAATCTGTGAGATGCTTACTATATACATATTATTGATAATTTTCAGAATTGTTCCCAAAGTAGTTATTAATATTCCCATTCCTGAGATGAAAAAGCTAAGGTTCAGAAGGACTAGTCAAACTTCTAGGTTTTTACACGTAATTAGGTGGCAAAGCTGGGACTGCATCTTAGATCTATCCGATCTCAATCACTGGTTCTTGCCATTATATCCCTTTATATTACAAAAAAGTACCTTTTCTTGATGCCCAGTGCTTTACCCTGTTTGTTCTGATATTAATTCAAATCCTTTGCAATTTCTTCCAAATGTGAATGTTTTCTGGTCTTATTAGAATTATTTCCTCACGCTATTAGTTCTCATAACATGTCGGGACTGTAATGATGTCATGCAATTCATTTTTCCATCTAAACTATCTGAATTGGTTAAAATTGATCACATTACACAAATAATTGCCAAATCTTGATTTTATTTTTCTTTCCTGTGAAATGGACATACTAATGTCCACTTGTGAAGATTAACTATGATAGCTTCTAAAGTATTTAGCACAAACTCTACCATATAATTAGGTGTTCAGCAAACATAAGTAACTTTTTCCTTCTTCTGTTATTGGATTAGGTTGAAAACTATAGAAGGCAGATTTACTCAAGCATTCTTTTTCAAAATATCATATTAATATGAACATGAAAAGAACTATGCATCAAAGACAATAATGGAATTTGTAAGAAATAAAATAAAGGCTAAGCTTTGCTTTGGACACAATTAGAAGTTTTACATTTTTGAAAATGATTTCTTTTGAAATCAAATTTCATGATTTACCAAATCAATGCTTCTAATGCAAATTGCAAAATTATTTTTATTAATTTATTATATTATTAAGAGTATGCCAATTTGGGAAATATATTTATAGCCAGAAAGAAAAGGATATAAATTTCCTTAGTTAATTTTCATCACTTGCTTTATTTTTGCTTTAACTGGGGGATGTAAACTATACCTTGTCACCTCGGGTACACAGAAATCTCAGCTTCTTAATTGACCTGCGCTTCAGTTCACTTTCCAGAACCCTTGACTGCAAAGAGCGGACTTCAATGGCTTTTTGGCCCCATCCTGTGGCTCGCTGTGAACACTCATAAGCTACAATAAAAATTTAAAAATCAGAAAAACATAATATCTTTCTGTCAGTGATAGAAAATTATAAACGCAGTCAACATTTGATTATTAAGAGGGACATTATTACAGTTCAGGTAAATACATTCTTTTTTTCCTGCTTATAAGACTGTTGTTTGGCCATTATGCTGCTCAACAGTGTTGTTCAAACCTGCCATGTACTATCACCATTGTGACCAACTATTTAACATTGTGAATAACTAGATCTCAGTTAATGTTTGTATTCATATTCTCCAATACCACAGAAAAAGCTAAGGGTTAATCTTATCCTGTTTGTAGAAAGTCAAATCTAGCTACAGTGATTCTATTTTATAATCTAGTTGAGGTACAACATCCTGTAAGGGTTTGTACTTGTGCTTAAGTGACATATATGGAAACCTGACTAACTTTTCAAAATTAAAACTGCTAAAAAATGACTCGCTCAAATAATGACTTTAGCAACTCTAATGTAATTCAATTAATTACCATGTTATACATAGAACTAAAGCTAATTTGATACTGCTAAGCATTTCTCTTGCTCAGGAAATTTTTATTAAGATTTAAACTATTGGACCCTGTTTTATATTACTCAGTGACAATAAAGACTATGACAATTGCTTTAAAGCAGAAAACCTAATTATGTAAATAGCTATATAGTCAGCTGACACTGTAAGGTATTTTCTGACATGGGGAGCAGTATTTTTTCCAACAACTGCATACAGCAAAATTTTCTAAACATAATGCACAGTGTACTTGCTGAGCTCAAATACACAGTTCACATGGCATTACATAATTTCTACCTTAATTCTAAAACACATTAATCAGCCACTTAACCTAGCTACTGAGCTAGCTTGTGTATGGGGTGGAATCCAGCGATTTAGTTCGGAACGCTTAATGATACCTGCTGTGATTGCTAAGTCTCTATATATTTGTTTGAAAATCCAAAGCAAAGATCTTATTCGTAAAAACATTCATTATATCTAAAGGAATGTAGATTGGGAAAATCTGGATCTAGGTTAGTTTTAAATAACAAAGCAGTTGTTTTTAGACAGAAAAAGAGAGTAATTGATTTTCTTATTATTAGTGTTATAATGCAATCTTTATATACTCTCAAAATACCCTTATTACACAGACCAAAATATCATGTTTTTATAGTGCTATAATTTATTTTACACATAGAGGGATGCTTTTCAATTTTAGTGACTTAAAATAGCTCTTTGTTTTAGGTCAGAAGTTGTCCTGCCTAAGGACAAGAACTGTACCAGATGACTTTTTAAGACCTCTTTGAGTCCTATGATTGTCTACATGTGGCATAAATATGGCATAAATATAGGGGTTCTGTTTCCCATTTGAACTGAATTTCCTTATTCCAATTTTTGATTAATATATTGATCACAACCACTGTAAAGGTTAGAACAAAATTCATTATTTCAGGGTTTTCTTTGTCCCAGATCTGTCAATTATATTGTAAGCGTTTACGTCTTGTCACAAAATGGTTTTAAACCCTCTGTGAGTTCTTACCTTTTGAAGAAATTGGAGGTTTTCAGCATAATCCTTAACATTATGTATGCAAAAGGAAAGGATTCTGCAGATGCAGTGCAAAGTGCCATCATCCCATAATGGAAAAAATGTCCATTAAAAAGAAGTTCTTTCAAACTGGTCTTTAAAGCCACATGTGGATCACATTTAGCCATTTTATAGAGATTTCAGAAGCTTCTGGCTTCTTTATTGATAAACTATTTTCTCTCTGTCTCTCTTGTCCTCCTTCCCTCCCTCCCTCCCTTCCTTCTCTCTCCCTCTCTCCCCCCCTCCCTCCCTCCCTCACCCTTTCCTTGTCCTTCTCCCTCTCCCTCTCCTTCTCCCTTCTCCTTTATTTGCTTCATTAACCTTATCTTACTTCCAGGAACATTTATCTTCAAGCAAATCATTCTACTCTCTCTCTAATATTTTTACTGTTCATATGCATTATTCTGTTCCCTATCTAGAATCACCTCTGTAGTCACCAAGACTCAGAGAAATACGAGTTTCAAGTTATTCAGATTGCCCAGATCAGCAGTCCTGCGATGGTCAGGAAGAAAAAAAGATGTCCTGGTCTAATGAAGATGAAAATTTTGTAAATGAAGTTTGACGAAATCTTAGTGACAACCTATATGTCACATATTCAGTTTGTATTTGATTCTTCACAGAAATATTACTTGCTGAACAGAACACTATTGACTGTATAAAATGGAAGTATTTTGCTCTTCTCTTATGACTATTTGGCAGTCTCCTAAGATAAAGGTAAACCCCAAAAATCAATGTGATGGAATGAAACACTTTCAACACCTGTGTAAAAGCTGCAAGCAAAGGTATTTAAAATAAAATTACAGATTATTGTGGAAAAGAATTACTTTCCTATTTTAATTACATGATTATTAAAAATGAACAACTAAGACAGCCATAATCAGTCTCTTTGTGATAGCCTTGTGAAGTAATTAAGCATAAGACAAACATACACATTACCTTACAAGGGAGTAAGTATGCCATATCCCAAATTAACACTATATGCCTTGAGAAAAAGTGATACTTCAGGAAATAGAAGCTTTTCTGGGAACATCTGAAAGGAGAAAAATTTTATACATACCTACTGAAGATGGTATGTCTTTCCACACTTCAAGGATCTTCTTGAAGAGTTGTTCATTTGCTTCCATGGAAAGGGCTTCGGCATTGAAAGTGAGCATCATGCCAATTCCCAAGGAATCAGGTAAAATGATGATATTCTGTGGTATAATGATTTCCAGGGGCTGGAATTATGTTTCATAAGGATTTACATGTCCAACATTTTATCACTACTACTTTCATTGAAGCAGCTTGGTTGAGCAATAAAGACCAAAAAGGGGTTCAAAATGCAGGGAGGAGAGAAATTTCTATTTCAGTACTAAACAGCATGCTATCCAACATTTGAAAAGAGCCTTCCCTATGTCATAAATCTGTCACTGTTTAATATTCTTCTTTATATTTAGGAGAAAACTTTGTAAAAAGCAGAGCTATACTTCCAACACAGAGAAATTCAATGAAATTTCACAAACTATTATGTATAATGATAGAAGAAACATTACTTGTTTGATTTCAGATTCATTTCAGCACACTAATTAATACTTTAGTAAGGAATGTGTGAACCAAGTAACATATACAAAATCACTGCTTATCAACCAATTTATTCAAATCAGAAATAGAAAATTAACTTTAAAATAGCTTGAGTTTAAATATTTACAAGGGGCAGCCTTATAATATCCTTCACTGCTTGAAATATATCCTCCTTTCACAAAAATATGGAATTTCTTATCTAATTTATATAATCTTAAAATATCTTCAATTCAGAGATGTATTAGGTGACAGAAGATGAAATACTAAGAAATATCTAAGAATTTCTAAATTTCATGATGCATAAAACAATGTGACAAAACTTGCCTAAACTACAGATATTGTCACATTAATCATATTTCCCTAAAAACCGAACAATTAATTCCTCTATCATTTTTCGAATTTAGCAAGTTAAAGGAAAAAATGTCAGAAACTATACTTGCCAAACCCAGCGTACTCAGGCCAAGTGCTTGAGGCCATGTCTCAGTCTCAGCAACAACAATTCTTAAAACTAAAATGGGGATCCAGAGGCGAAAAGCAATTTTAATGCGTTCCCTGGGCACTCTCATGAGCAGTTGAATCAGAAAAGAGATGAAGGAAGAGAGAAAAAGAAATTCAAGAAAAAAGATTGTCTCAAAAAATTTGTTTAGAATAGATCTGGGCTGTTGTAAATCCAGAAAGCCTCAAAGGTAATCCTCTTGCTTCTCAGATGATTCCTGAAGTAACGAGATATTCTGTAGCTTTACAGCTTTTGTAATCTAGCACTTTTGGAAAAGTATTATTTTTAGTACATTCTGTTTCAGAAGACACTCCCTCCTCCTTTATATTAGAGTCCTTTCTCTTTTAATGGGTCAAGACACTAGGGCATTTAGCTAAAAATTCTACTTTTTAATACACTTAAGGTATCCTAATTAGGCCAGAAAATGATTTTTTAAAAACCTCACCTTCTCTCATTCTTGTTTCCATAATAGTTAACTGATCGTTTCAAAAGAAAATAATGCTTCTTGCTTAGTAGTCAAGTGGAACACAGAATTCAATCTTCCTAAATGACTTTCCAAATAAGTATAAACTTGCACCAACACTGTGGTGTTCAATAATGCACTACCTTCAAAATAAAGGCTATCTGACATGACATAAAAAATAAGATGCAGGAAGTGATGGAAGACACTCCAAGTGAAAAGTACTATAATATTTATACTAAAATTAACCTACACTCATTTAAATGGCTTTGGCTGGGCTTGGTTCAGTATTTTCTGCCTTATGAACAGTGATTTCTATATAGTCATAGGTGACAACAGAATGATCAGCTAATTAGATTGTTAAATATGACCAAAACTTTAAAAAATTTCTCCACTAATGATCTGACAATTGCTCCATGTAATCTGTCAGAGATATATAGATAATTCTGAAAGCTGTGCAAAATATCACATTACTACAGTGGCTAGCAGTACATAAAAGTTTTCTCCTGGAATTTTGTATAAAGCTAAACTGCTAAAACTTTAGTGATTGACAAAATGGGGAATTCAAAAAGGGTGAAGCAGAGATTTGTTGGTTCAGCCCTTCCTTTTTAATATAATTTTCAATAGGACAAATATCATTTCTACCATCAAATTTGAGATATAGGAGAATTATATTATGTATGGTACGTGTGTGTGAGGGGTATTATGTTATGTTCAAGCTCTTTAGACAAATGATGTGTATAGTATTTTTACAACTATCCATATTTTAGATGCTGTGCCATATTTTCATATTTATAATTATTTGAGTTAAGAGTTGATGTGCATTAGCTTTTAAAATGCTGAATCTTTGATCAGAAATTCTAAGTATAACTTATACTGTAAGAGAATACTTTATGATAATTTGCTATATATCACAGTTAAAGTACAACAATCTGGATAAAGAAAGGACATACACATAATAATGTTGCAATACTGATGTAATTTTAAAAAATCTATTAATGCATTATGAGGTGCAGAAGACTAAAGCAAGGGTTGCAAACTCATATGGCTACAAGGGCCAGTTATTATAAATACATAATGGTGGATGGATAGAGAATGTATAGCGTATGTTCCATCTAAAAGTGGACAGGCACAAATTGATTCCAGTTGATTATGGCCAGATAGTAATGTTGGTCTGATATTGTCAGATCATTGGTTTTTCAATAGAAATCCAGATTTTAAATGTAAACGATATTCACTTAAAAACAAACAAAAATCACTGTTGCAGACAAAATCTATCTGCGGAACAGACTTAGCTGTCTGGACTAAGAAACCATCAGTGATTTTTGTTTATCCATTACTACTTTCTGGCACTTTATACTTACCTTTTACGTCTCAGTTCTAACATAGATATTGATACTCATATTTTTAAAACTTTAAGAGTTTTGACAGTTGGAAATACTCAAATTGTGTTATACAGTAATTTCTAGGGATCTTACATTATTTGGCAGGGTCACATCAGACATAACCTCAGATTCTGCATCAATGATGTGATATCCATTTGCTGAGCTGAAGAAAATCTTTAGTCTTTTTTCAGAACCAATAGCCAGGTCAACTGTCACTGGCTTATGACCAAGTGTTGGAAACACCTGTAGATATAAAACCAAATATGGCCAAAAGGCCAAAAATGACACTCTGTCTAAGGAGAAAATTCCCCTGCCCTTTTGTTTAACAGGTTTATAAAACCCAGAATTATTTTTAAAGTTACATAATATATTTAGAGACCTATGTATTATAACTTTTCTTAGGTCTGTTATTACAATAAGAATGATTATATTCAGGTTCTAAATATTGAGTTTTCCTTCGAAGGCCAAATCTCCAAAAATCATAAGAGCCTTGTATGGCCCTGTACTCTGTTTGCTGTCTTTAAATTCCTTGCCTTGAGCTTCAGCAAATGAAGGAGCTCATCTGGTCTCTTAAACCGGTTTGCTGGATCAGCTGCCTGTATTTTTGCCAGTATTCGTATATAGGCTTCATAGGACATGTAGTCTCCTTCGGAGTCTGCTGATTGATCAATGCACACTTGGTAGGGAATGAGAAAGGCCAGACATGTTAACCTACCATAGACTGGATGTACTCTAGGCTCTTATGGTTCCTAGTCCAAGGAAACAAAAAGCCAAACAGGATTCATTGCCAAGTTCAGGTCACAGTAGAGGACTGGGCATCACAGGTTTCACCACACTGTAGTCATGAGGTGGGATTCAAGAACTGGAGTGAGGACTTGGACCAGGAATTGTGTATCAGGCTACACAGACTGTTGGTACTTACCTTCTTTGCTTTCCAGCTCCATACCAGGCAGCTCTGACCAATCAGCAGACACCCAAGAACAAACCCATATCCAAATACTGACAGCTGACCCAAGGCCCAATTTAGGGAGATCAGATCAGGGATGTGATTTGTGTCAGGACAGACCCAGACTATCTATATAGTAGTCTGTGCTATTTATAAAAGAACATATTTATTGTACAAATAGACATTGAGGAGTAGTCATAGATATTAACCCATCTTTATTGTATACATGTGATGTTTTGGCCTACAAAATATACCACGTAATCAGATCCTGACCTAAGATACAATAGTATTTCACGAATATGTTGTTGGGGTCTATCATGATGTATCCCTATCAGTGCTTTGTAAAAACTTGTCCAGGGACCAACCAGTTCAAAATCTCCTGGGTTGTTTGCTAAAAATATAGATTCCCAGGCTCCACTTCAGACCTACTAATTTGGCCTGGAGTTGGGTCTGAGATCTAAACTTTTAACAAATGCTCCAGATGATTCTTATGTATATCCCAGGTTAGGAGCTACTGGACTCTATGTAATATTGCCAGCTCATTAATCAGTCCTTATTACTATAGAATAAATACAAAATAATCTTATTTATGTTGAATTCTGGAGCATTATAAAAAGATAATGAAGATAAAAATAGTCCCTAGTTTATGAGATGTGATTAAAAATCATCAGCAACTTAATTGTTTGGGACACTAAATGGTTACCTTAAGAGGCTGATCCATAGAAGTTCAATTAAACCATAATAAGGGTGGAAACAGTACTCATAATCCAAATAAGCCTAACCACCATTCCTTGTAATAGTTCTAGAGAAAAATGTGTTTAGAGATCCAGCTTGGAAGGAATATAGAGCCATCCTTTCCTCCCCACCCCCATCTACTGTAGCCCTGGTAATTAGAGCAAAGCCTTTCTCTTCCTTCATTCCTCTTCCAGGTTCATTCCTCTACCATTCCTCTACAATGGTAGAGGTTTCCCCCTTTACCATTGTCACACCTTTCCTTACCTTCCCTCTGCTCTCCACCCCCCACTAAGAGAGAACAGGGACTTTCTCAGCTTCAAGTCATTGGGGTGGCACCCAAAGCTTGTGTTTGTGGCTTTAGAAGAGAAGGTCTTCATGTTGACTACAGGAATTGGGAGTGAGGAGCTGGTGGGGAGGTCCTTTAAGGGGAGGGGTCAGGGATTTCCCTCACACTCTCCCTTGGTGTGGTGCCTGTGAATTATCTAAAAAAGGGTTAAATGATAATTATTGACATGGTATATTTAAATTACATTAATTGTAGAAGAATGGTATATATTTCTGCTACTCTATTCCAAATACTGTTCTGTTTACAATTTCTCAAAAGAAAAACCAAAGGAAAAGGAGACCACTCACTTTAATGGCAGTGCTTTCATCAAAGGACTTTGGTGCCCATGCATACAGGTGAATTGATGATTTCAAAGCAATTGCAATATATGTTGTTTCTTCATGTTGCACTACAGTGATAAAATACAAAGAAGTAACGATGCCACAGAGTTAACAAGAACACTCAAGTATTTGTGTTTGTTGTTGAAAATGTCATAATAACAATGTAAGACCATAGATCATTTATTTTAGAAAAGTTATTTGGTTACAATTTGATTCCCAATAGAAGGTGACAAAAATACTGTATAGCTTTATGGAGTGTATGCATTAGCCTTTAAGAACACTCTAAATTGTGCACTGAAAACTACAGAAAATTGCTGAAAGAAATTAAAGAAGACCTAAATAAATGGAAATACTTCCTCTGTTCATGGACGGGTAGACTTAACATTGTTAAATGAGAGATGTGATTAAAAATCATCAGCAGTCAGCAGTACTGACCTTAAGAGGTCAGTACTATCCAAAGTGATCTACAGATTCATTGCAATCTCTATTAAAGTCCCAATGCACCCCTATGCATAGATGGAAATGCTGATTAAAATTCACTTGGAATTGGAAGAGGTTCCAAATAGCCAAAACAATCTTGAAAATGAAAAACAAAGTTGGAGGACTCACGGTTCCCAATTTCTAAACTTACTACAAGCTACAGTAATCAAAACAGTGTAGTACTGACCTAAGGACAGGCATATAGATCAATGGAGTAGAATTGAGAGTCTACAAGTAAAGCCATTCATTTATGGTCAGTGGTGCCAGGACTATTCAATAAGGAAAGAATAATGTCTTCATCAAATGGTACTGCGACAACTGAATATCCAAGTACAAAAAAATGAATTGGACCTCCTACCTCAATCCATATATAAAAAATAACTTGAAATGGATCAAAGACCTAAATGTAAGAGTTGAAACTATGAAACTCTTAGAAGTAAATATAGGAAGAAACCTTCATGGCAATAGATTCTTATATTTGACACCAAAAGCATAAGCGACAAAAGAAAGAAACAGATAAATTGGGTTTCATTAAAATTAATACTTCTATGTATCAAAGGACACTATCAAGAAAGTGAAAAGACAAAGTATGGAATGGGAATAAATATCTGCAAATCATATATCTGATAAAGGTCTAATGTCCAGAATATATAAAGAATACTTACAACTCAACAACAAAAAAATAAATAAGCCAAGGAAGATATACAAATGATCAACAAACACTTGAAAAGATGCTCAACAACATTATTCATCAGGGAAGTGCAAATCAAAACTATAATGTGATGCCACGTTACACTCACTTGGATGGCTAGGATCAAAAGACTGACATTTACAGGTGTTGGTAAGAATGAAGAGAAAAATGGAGCTTTCATACTTATGGCAATGTAAAACAGTTCTGTCAGTCACTTTTAAAAATATTCTGGCAGTACTATCTAAGAGAAAAGAAAATATTCACTCCAATGTACAAAGACATGTATGAAAATGTTCATAGCAGAATTAGTCCTAATAGCCAAAAAGTGGAAAAAGTGCAAACGTATAAAACAATGGATGTATACAAAACTGGATAAACAAAAGGTGATATATATATATATATATATATATATATATATATATATATATACAATGCAATACTATTCAGCAATAAAAAGGAATACTGATACATGTTGAATAGGTTACAGCATGGATGAACCTTGAAAACATTATGCTAAGTGACAGAAGCTTGTCACGAAAGACCACATAATGTATAATTCCATTTAAATAAATCGTGGAAAAAAGACAAATCCACAGCAAAGAAAGTAGATCAGTAGGTACTTAGGACTATGGGGGGAATAAGGTAAGAGGAATAAAATATGGAGTGACTGCTAATGGCCATGAGGTTTCTTTCTGGAATGATGAAAATTAGATCATGGTGATGGTTACACAACTCTATAAACATACCCTAAAGCCTTTAATTGTATACTTTAATGGGGTGTATTTTATGATATGTAAATTATTTCAATAGAGCATTTTTTTATTAAAAAGGAGAAAAAAATATAAAAAGTATATGCTTGCTCTTGGCTAGACCTTCTGGCTCTCATGAAATATTTTGTCCTACTTCTAGATTTATATTTGTGCTAAAACCCCGCTTCTTTGGCTGAGACACTGCTTCTGTATTCGTTAGCCAGACTTCATCTGAGACTAATATATACGAATTCTCTCTCTCCTCTCCCCTCCCCTCCTCTCTCCTTCTCTCTCTCTCATTCTGTGTCGCTGTCTCTCTGAGTCTAGCTTTGCTTTCTTTTTTCTTTAAACCGTTCAGAAGTAGGTCAAAGAAGCATGATTAATAAACCCCCAAGAAGCAAAGGAATTCTTTGTTAAGCAAATAGTTCCAATAATTTTTATATACGACAGTAACTGATATCGGTCCATTATTTTGTTGACCTTGGAAGGCCATGAAAATACCACGCAAGTATGGTTATGTTGTTGTCCTCCTATGTAAGGGTGCTACTGTTTCACCTGTCAGTAGGACAAATGTTATTGGTTGTTATGAGAGCTGGGATGGGTTGGAATGCGGTCAGCCAGGAAAACTGGACTAAACTAGTCCATCTGTTTACCAAAAGCATAGATTTGCAAGATGATTATCTTTGTAAACTCTCTCTTATTCAACTAAAAACTCGATAAGTTAGTAAGGGGCAGTTCTGCTATATAAACTTTTGGGTTAACATCTGGGAATATCTTTCACCTCTGGCTACCACATTTATGTAATATGATTTGGAGGAAATTAGTGATACATAAAACTAGAAGAAAGTAGTATATTTAGTTGATGCCTAAGTTGTCTGGGTGCTCATTCCTACCTTTATTGGTGTTTGTGTACATATGTACACACATATGGAAACCTATCCTTGGAAAGGCTCTTTGTATGCAGAACAAAAACGGTCAGTCAGTGTAGAAATATACTGCTGCAACTCATATTATGTGATTCCAGCTATTTCTTACCTATGCCACTAGTTCTGCCTCACAGGCAATTAGTAAAGAGGAAAGAAGAAAACAAAGGCTGAGTGTAGAGGGGATTTGCTTCAGAAACAGAAAGAATTGGATAACATTACTTCCAAGTTGTTGACAGATTAGAGCAGGACTCTAAGACCTTGGATGTGTTACTCCATTTCACAGTGGATGGTTGTGAAGAGACAGGGGAAATGAAAACACAGTAATCAGATAGGAAATATTTAGTAATTATTATACTCATGAATATCAACAGTGGGAATGAGAGCCAGCAGACAATTGATGAATTTTCGTTTTGAATCATGGTAAAGTTTCCTGGTCAGTATTAGGAGGGATTTTCTGATTTTGAAAAAAAGGAATTATTATGTGATCTTATTTTATTGCTGTTCCAAGAAAAGATAATGTCATATAAATCTCCTTGTAGGTTATTGAAGATACATCAACACCATTTATATAATTGAAGTTAGATAGAAGCAGGAAGAAATATCAGTTCATATGAACTAATTAGAGTGACTGGGAAGGGAAGAAAGGTGAGAAAGTGAACCAAACTTAACTCCAATAGCTATTTCAGTCAATCTATATTTTCTCAATAACAGCCAAGATTGTGACATAAAAGACCTGAAAGGTATCTCAGTGAAATTCACTCATTTTTGTATTTGAAGTTGCAAATTCTTTTCTTTCTCTACTTTGCCTTTCACAATAATGTTCTTTACCAAATGAAGGGAAGCAAAATTTATATAGCTATAGTAAACACGAAATGAGACTTACAGACACTGAAGTGTTCACAGCCTGTCAACTTATCAATAGCTTTGCAGGCTTCCTCTGTCTTGAGCATTTCCTCTTGTCTTCTTTTACTTTCTGGATCATCATTCAAAATCTTGTTTCTCAGCCAGGTCAAATGATACACCCGAAGTCTGTTCTTATGGCCTGATAAGAAAAGATACAATGTTTCAATTCAGTCTATTTTTTTATATATTAGAAGAACAAAAATGGTAAAAGTATTTTTGTCTTTTTAACCGAATGTTTTCATTAAAGTAAAAATGCACTTTAAAAAATCTATGCTGCATCAGAGTTTTCCCTTTAGAGTTTGGAAATGTGATAGCAAAGCCTCTCAGTCTCCCACTTACAAGAGATAGCTGAAGTATCTACCAGCTACCTATGTAGAAGCAAATGTAAAATACTTCTTTGGGACAGGTTAAGACTGCCACTGTGCAGGCAACAGAATCACCATCCATTCATTTGTACCTTAGCTTCTTATCTAAGTCATGACCTTTCTGGGATTCAGAGACCCAGAAGCTATCTCTGGTAGTGTGTATATATGAGAAGGGTGTCTTATGTATTGCTTGTTAGGCATTCTGGGCCAGTGAGATGGGTCTTTGTACTCTTTCATTCCAGTATACTTACGAAGTAAGTCCCATCAAATTTCTACAATTCCTTCAGAAAAACAAGCCATTAAAATTACACATTTCTTTTCATATATAGTGACTTTACATCCATTTTTAGGGTTTATGACTGTAAGATTTCTGGGCCCAACAATAAGATTCTCATTTATGTAATTAATCTTAAATATATTTTTATACAACATTTTTGAGCAGTGTTAGAATTCAAGCATCTATATCTATTGCCATTCTATTCTCAAATGGTAAAATAAAATTGAAATCCAAACTATTAGATATCTTTCTATACTGACATTCTCAGTACTATTTGATGCAAAAATAATCCATATTTAAGAGAAACTTAAGAATTAAAAAGAGAACATTTGGGTTAGAGAAAGCTGGATAAAACGTAAAGAAATCTGTTATCCAGATGTGCAGTCTGTAAGCCACCCAGATGTTTTCAAAAACTAAATGTTGCTTCTGTGTGCCTCAAGCAATTATAAATGAATGACCAAAAAATCATGACACTTTAGCATATCTGTAGAGGATTTCTCTAACCAAAATTTAAAGCAAAGTTAATCATATTTAGGACTATACATAATCATTAATTAATGTGCAATATCGTTATTAGGTACAGACAGGAAGTATATACACACATAAAATTACTGTGATTAGCATAATTTTATTCTACAGTCGAACCATTTAAAAAGTTTTTCCTAATCTTTCAACAGTCATTTTTTTGCCTAAAGTCAGCATTAATGTTAGTGCTTTCCTGATACCAAGTACTGTTTAGTAATCACAATAATTATTAACATCCATATACTTGGTCTCTCATATTTCAAGGTTCAGGATCTGACTGACCAAAACTAAGAAGTTCAACTACTATGTGGGAAGAATGGAGAGATCTTAGGGGATCCATTCTTGTTACTAGTCCTATCTGTAGGCCCTTATTATACAGCTGTGGCAGAGACAACAGAGTCTCATTTTTATCCAATTATTGTCCTTTTTGTTCTTTGTTGCTTCTAACACAAGAAAGGTATATAGTGGTGGTTAGTGTGGTCGTGTGTGCATGGGTGGGTGAAGCTGTGAGTTGTGAAGATGTAGGTGGCTACTCAGAAAAGACGTGAAAGGATGCAAATGGCATGGTTTTTCTTGTCACTGACCTTGGACAGGTACATTACAATCAAATATCCAGACACCAAAGGAGAGTCAGAAGTTTAAATTGTAAATAGGTAAGAAAATACAAGTAGGAAAGCCTGGTGTCCCAATTAAAATGTATATTTATAGTGCTTTCCTATGAATACTTTCACTTGAGAGAGTCTTTAGCCCAGTTTGAAACCTAATTTATCTGCATAATTACTCAGTTAATTTTAGTTCTTAAACAAACCGGAGATGGTAATCAGCAAATTGAGGGGCTCTACAACTTGAATTTGACGGAATGGTCTTCGCTTTATAAGTTTAGTAATGTCTGCCTTTCCGCTTCTGTCCATCAGATACAGATTTGATCGAGTTCCCAACAGCAAATTCACTCCTGTTCATATATGAAAAGAAAAGTGCTATATTAGCTCAGATTACATTTTTATAATTGAATTTATACTAGTATTTTTGCTACTCCGGTGTGCTGATCTATGTAAAGGTGACGTTTATCATCTTAGGCTAATGTTAACTTCATTCTGTGTAAAAATGAACTCTCTGCCAACAGAACAAATTTATTTTCATTAAAATATTGAAGATAATACCCTCTGGCAATATTCTACTGGCTGGTGTCTTGTTTGCCATCACACAAATAGAACTTTATGTATATCTCAGCACCTTTCAGTAGTGTCCCAAACTTTATAAAAATCAATCAACCTTTTTGAAAGTTACCATTAAATATAAAATATGCCTAGTATATATCAAGCCTTCAATTCAGTTGATTTCTCATTGCTAACTGTAACATGGTTTTAATGCTTTTAGAATAATTGCATGTAAATTGTTTTTAAATTGAGTGATTCTGTGTTCACACATATATTAAAAAAACTTATATTGCTAAATGCCTATAAAATTAGTTTCTACTTTCATGTATTTACACTCCTACACTCTGTTATTTGTGTGCTGGCTTTATTCATTCTAATACAAGCACTGTTTATAGACTGAATGAGAAGACTAAAATAGCAGATTGAAGTAAAGTTAGAATATACTTCAAATGGGGGTCAGTCTCAAGATGGTGGAGTAGAAAGACCCTGAACACACCTCTTTCCATGGGCATACAAAAATTACAACTATTTACAGAGCAACTGTGTATCAGAATGACCTGAAGACTAGCAGAAAAGATTTTCCACAACTAAAGACATAAAGAAGGAGCCACAACAAGATGGAAAGGAGTGGCAGAGATGTGGTTTAGTAAAGACCCACACCCCAGGGTCTATGACTCATAAACAAAAGGGATATCATAACCACAGAGGTTCTACTCAAGGAGCAAGGGGTCTGAAACCCACATTGGGTTCCCCAGCCTGGGGGTCTGGCACTGGGAAAATGAGTTCCTAGAACATCTGCCTCTGAAAATCAAGTGGGGCTTATGTTCAGGGGAGCTGGAGGGCTATAGGAAAAGGAAATTTCATTCTTACAGGGCATGCACAAAATCTCACATGCTCCAAGTGGCATGACGCAGGGCAGATGCAGTAGTGTGAAAGATGCCTGGGTCAGAACCACTTCTTGTTCTTAGAGAATCCCCCTGGAGAGGCATGAGGCAGCTGGGACCCCCCTGAGGACTGACACTGGCAGCAGCCATTTTGGGGATCTTGGTCTACCACATTGACACATATTATAATCTTTTATTTTTCAAAATATAAAATCACAAATGATAAAAATGAGTTACTAGACATTAAGTTCATCTCTGGGTAGTTGCCTGACTGGAATGATAATGAAGTAAACTTTGCTTTCTTGTTATCCGATACATTATATTAGTAGAACTTTGAGGATGGCTTATTTTTTTCCAAATTGTTTAATCCACATAACTATAATGTTTGCTACACTGCTCTATTTTTAATTTAAAATTCTGTCTCCTGTTCAATCATACATTAAGCAAAGTCTATGAAACTGAAGGTAGGAGGTTGGCATTTATTTGGGATTTTTCCCTTCCTTGCATTCATTTATTCTGTTTCATTTATGATTCAGACCCGCTTGAGGTAAAATATTGTCTCAGCATTACCAATGTGGTTATAATTCTTCTGGAACAAAGGGTTGAAAAAGTCTATCAAGTTAAGATATTACACAAGGAACTTTCTCTACAAATCCTCAAGATATTTTAAAAACAAGAACCTGAAGAAATTTCTTGTAATATCTCATTAGGTATTATATGTTGCATTCTGCCCAAATTAAAAATGCTAAGCTTGAATTTTCAAATAATCATAACCTAGTCCAATTTTATATTTTAGCCAAGTTAATTTGGGCCGTAAAGAAAAACAGAATAAAAAGGGTAGGAAGTAATTCAAACAGCAAACTGCATTGAGTAAAAATAAATCAGCAAATAAATAAATAAGCAAGTTAACTACTGTGTGTGTATATGTATGTGTATATATGTATATACTTGGAAATGGTTTTTCAATAGCAAACACATGTTTACATCTATGATTTTTCACAAGTTTGCTATATAGATAAAAATATATTCTTTAAAGTATAACAACTCAGTTTTAAGAAACAAAACTCACCCCACAAAGAACCACAGCAGATCTCAGAAGTGAATTCCTTTTCATACATGTGGATTAGTGGTTTTTTACATTCAGGAGAGACATAGAGTGGGTTAACATTGACTTCAGAGGGTTGCTTAGATGATTTCTCAGGTACTTCCACTAATCCAGCATATACTGTGAAGAGAAGATATTGAGAGAACTTACACCATATGCGCTTGAGTGTTTCCACAAATGAGACATAGCTTAGAAAAATTCCTTTTCCTTTACTGTATTTTATTTTTTTATTGGAGCTATAATTTCTATAAATCCTAAACCATCAGTTAACACAAATCAAGATGGTCAGAATACATTTCTGAATATGAATATACTTCAAGTTACTGTGATTAAATTACAAGTAAAATCCAGATGAGGGACCCAATTTCTCAATTGTAGTTCAAATTTAGGTGCCATAAAGACTAAGTGAAGAGTAGATTTAAAAATATATATACATCCATCTGAATTTATGTCAAATGAGTATCAGAATGATTTGATTCTTTTCTGATAATGAACCAGTGGTCAAACACTGTATTTAATATGTGAACAGACTGCAGCATTTGGAGATTATATTAAATACACTTACAGATGGTACTGGCAAAGTCAGCATTTGCAGCCCCTTCAGAACCTTTGGAAGGAGATGAGTGGCTGGCAGAAAAACCTGATTCTGTTGATACTTCTGATATGTCCATAGTGTCATTCTCATCACCAGGTGCTGCAGGTGCAGCACCTGAGGCAACGGCATTTGAGGCTTCACTTCTACCACCTGACTCCTAAAAGATGATTAAAAATTTATTTTGACTTTATTAGGAAATTAACAGTGAGAGAAATATGATATGCCTAGTGGTTATTTGAAAAAGAGAATACAAAATTTGTAACATCTTATAATTCTTTATCCTTATAAAATCCACATTTACCAGTAGAACTCAACAATGTTATCAAAAAAGAAACAGGGCTTCCCTGGTGGCGCAGTGGTTGAGAGTCCACCTGCCGATGCAGGGGACACGGGTTCATGCCCCAGTCCTGGAAGATCCCACATGCCGCGGAGCGGCTGGGCCCGTGAGCCATGGCCGCTTTCCTTCCTTCCTTCCTTCCTTCCTTCCTTCCTTCCTTCCTTCCTTCCTTCCTCCCTCCCTCCCTTCCTTCCTTCCTTCCTCCCTCCCTCCCTCCTTCCCTCTCTCCCTTCCTCCTTTCTGTCTCTCTCACTATTTTTTTTTAAAACATCTTTATTGGAGTACAATTGCTTTACAATGTTGTGATAGTTGCTGTTGTATAACAAAGTGAATCAGCTATACGTATACATATATCCCTATATCTCCTCCCTCTTTCGTCTCCCTCCCACCCACCATCCCTATTCCACCCTCTAGGTGGTCACAAAGCACGGAGCTGATCACCCTGTGCTATGCAGCTGCTTCCCACTAGCTATCATCTATTTTACATTTGATAGTGTATATATGTCTGTGCCGCTGTCTCACTTCGTCCCAGCTTACCCTTGCCCCTCCCCTTGTCCTCAAGTCCATTCTCCACGTCTGTGTCTTTATTCCTGTCCTGCCCCTAGGTTCTTCAGAACCATTTTTTTTTAGATTCCATATACATATATGTGTTAGCATATGGTATTTGTTTTTCTCTTTCTGACTTACTTCACTCTGTATGACAGACTCTAGGTCCATCCACCTCACTACAAATAACTCAATTTCGTTTCTTTGTATGGCTGAGTAATATTCCATTGTATCTATGTGCCACATCTTCTTTATCCATTTACCTCTAGATGGACACTTATGTTGCTTCCATGTCTTGGCTATTGTAAATAGTGCCGCAATGAACATTGTGGTACATGACTCTTTTTGAATTATGATTTTCTCAGGGTATATGCCCAGTAGTGGGATTGCGGAGTTGTATGGTAGTTCTATTTTTAGCTTCTTGAGGAACCTCCATACTGATCTCCATAGTGGCTTTATCAATTTACATTCCCACCAACAGTGCAAGAAGGTTCCCTTTTCTCCACACCCTCTCCAGTGTTTATTGTTTGTAGAATTTTTGATGATGGCTATTCTGACTGTTATGAAGTGCTACCTCATCGTAGTTTTGACTTGCATTCCTCTAATGATTAGTGATGTTGAGCATCCTTTCATGTGTTTGTTGGCAATCTGTATATCTTATCTGGAGAAATGTCTATTTAGGTCTTCTGCCCATTTTCAGATTGGGTTGTTTGTTTTTTTGATATTGAGCTGCTTGTATAATTTGGAGATTAATCCCTTGTCAGTTGCTTCGTTTGCAAATATTTTCTCCCATTTTGAGGGTTGTCTTCTAACTTTTTTTTCTTCTTTGCATTGTAGTATCAAGGATCACAAAAGGTAATGGAAATGAATTAGGGAAAATATAAAGTACATCCTCTTTAGCATCCCTGGTCTCTACACACTACATGCTAGTAGCACCCACCTCACTCATTTGTGACAATGCAAATTATCTTCAGACATTGCCAAATGACCTCTGGGGAACAAAATTGCCCCCAGTTAAGAGCCACTACTGTAGGCAATAAGATATTGAGAAAGTAATGCTAAGTGTTATCAGTTTAGAATAGAATCATTTAATAAAAACTCTATTAAATACGAAATAAACTTAAAGCATTTTCTTTTGTAGTCTCCTGGTGTGCAAAGTTATTAAGTGTTTCCATAATCACAGGTTCATAGTGGAATGGCATGCAGGAAGCTGGAATTTTAAAAGAAAAAGACAAATTATATGATACTAAAATTGTTGTACGTTCTATAATACTGCAATTGTTTTTAATAATCTGGTATGAAGTAGAATAATGAAACAAGTGTCACCTGTATAACCCACCCCTAGGCCTTCTAGTGAACTCATCCAGTCTTTCAACATCTCAGTTTCTGCATACTCATTTTGAGCAAAGGAGTAAAATTTTGGGAGGAAAATCGGCCTGAATATTTGTCAGTTTTCTTGGAAGATTCCAAAAACATCACTATATCTATTTTCATAAAATAATTGAACTTGTCCCTTATTTCTCATACTTGAGCCTATAGCGCCACTTAGTGGCTAGTATGGTTCACAGGAAAAGCAAGTTTAAGAGCAGTTTTCTTCCTAAGGTCTAACAGGAAAACAGGTGCTATTCCTATTTTTCTGATTTTGTTACAACGCTTATTTAAAATAACCAAGTGCAGCAGAACTATAATACAAATATCAAACAGCTGTAATTTCATCTAATCTCAGGGAAAAATTATATTCCCCCTTGATATTGCATTAGAGGCCTAAGCTCAAGTCCAGGTGAAGGAACTCCTTTTCTCTCTTGTGCTGCCTGAGTTTGCTCCAAAAGCAGCAATTAGAGCAAGGTAGAGGAATCAAGGGAAAAGGAATAGCTGGTAATAGCATAAAGGAGTTTTCCAGTGAAGAGGGTGATGGTGCCACCCAAACATGCCATGCAGAGCTTATGAAAATATTTTTTGAGGGGAGAGGACTTTGTTACTTTATTATTAAAGTAATACAAACAATTCAGGAAAGTATGAAGAATAAATAAGATAATATATAGTACTATCTCTATGTAGATAATTACTTTTAACATTTTGGTGTGTGTGTGTGCATTTGTGTGTGTGTATGTGTATTTTCTATGCACAAGAGCTATAGAACAAATTGTTTTTCTCTCTGAAACTGCTACACTAAATTAAACTGAAGATTAATTTCAATTACAATTGAGGAACACAACATCCATTATTTGGTGAATTATTTTGTAATTGAAAAAGTAATATATGGGCATGACTAAAAATTTTAAGAGTACAACAGGATAGATCAAAAGATGTTTTACCCAATCAGAAACTGTTTTTCCTTTCTCAGAGACATTGTATGTTAATGTTAAAAGTTATTATGTAATATAGTAGGTAATATAAATAATATGATTCTTAATTATACTATGTACATTTTTGCACCTTGTGTAATCCCTTTAATGAACCTGATTTTCCATATTGGCCCACATAGATAAACTCCATTTTTGTTAATGGCATATTTTCTGCTGCATAGGCTTACTATACTTTTTAAACCAATCACCTGCGGATGGAAATTCAGTATTTTTTCCTCAGTCCAGTACTTTATTACAACCAATCCTGCAACAAACATTCTTGTGCATATAACTGTGTCTGAGTATATCTGTAGTATATATTTCTACAAGTAAAATTGCTGGTTCAAAGGGAATGTGTGTGCTGAATGCTACTGCCAGATTGCCTTGCAAAGAGATTGTAACAATAGAACACAAAAGTGGCATAATATCAAAATCTTTAACCTTTGCTAATCTGACAGATAAAAAATGTTTTTTTTGTTCTCATTCCTGTGTTTTTTTCATTATGAGTGGGCCAAACATATTTAATAAGTTTATAAGTTATTCATATTTCTTTTGATGACCTTATTGTTCATGTTTTTAGCCTATTTTCGTCTATTGGGCTTGTCTTAGTTTGGCACTGAAAGGAGAACATTATACAAGGATATGGATTCAGATAGTTTATTTGAGAGATGATCTCAGAAAGCAGGAGTTGGAGAGTTGGTAGAGTGAGAAAAAGAGGAAGGAAAGACAATAAAATGATGTATGGATGCATTATATAGGCCGCTGCAAGTTTTAGGGACAAGATGGAACAGACTCATTTCTCCCTGCCCCTTCCCACCAGGTACAGCTATAAACTCTGAATTTACAGTGCATTTGGCAACCAAAGAATTCTAAAAGGTGGTAATAGGAAGGCAAGGTTGTTGGGACTCCCAAGACTGGAGAAACAATGCAGTGGCAAGTTATCATAAGTATTCCCAATCCTCAGCTGAGTAAAAAGAGGTAGCCCAGATAGGATCATTTCTCCCCCAGATTTAAAGAGAGTCCCTCTGACAACATCAAGAAAGCCCAACACTACTAGAAAAGGAAATTTATCAGTAACCTCATGAGGAATAAGTGGCCAAAGGAGGCACTCTTTCACCCCGCTGGGCCAGAGACTCCAATCCCACACTGGAAAATACTGGGGTTAGCCTGGTAACACCAGCAAGAGGGGTTCCACCACAATAATCAGCCCAGCCTGGAAAGCTCCTTTCTCTCCACTAGCATAAGACTCCCCTTCCCAGCCCAGAGACATTAGTTCACCAGTAGATGAGATCCTACAACAACTGACCAGCAAGAGATATACACTCCATCATCCACAGACAGAGGAAACTATGCCACAACAACCTCATTGCCAGGGAAACCTCTTTGGCCCATGGTTTGAGACTCCCCTCTCCTACCCAGAGAACCAGGTACCTAGGACTAGGGAAACATCTTCCACCCCAGCAGCAGGTACTGGTGGGAGCTACAGCAGCACCAGATAAACCAAACAGACCAAAATAATACTGCAAAGACTCTGAAAATAAATAAACTGTCATTGTAACCACAGATCACAAAAGTAGACCAGGACTTTGGTGTTAAATCTAGGCATGGTGGCTTCCTGCTTAGATAAAAGATTTAAATGCGAGTCTCCTAACATAATCAATAAAATGTATAGGAAATATAAATCTATCATACCAAGAATCAGGGAAATCATAACTTGAATAAGAAAAGATAAGTAACAGATGCCAAAAGTAAGATGAATCAAATGTTGGAGTCATCTGGGCATCACTATCATGGTACCATAAGTCGTCCTTTGTATTTGTCCTCCCACTTCAACAACAAAACTTTGACAACCATCTATGAACAATATCGCCTCTCTGAGAGTTCTGAGATCCAGCACAATA